GGAAAATGGGCCTTTTTTTGCTCATTTTTGCCCTCCCCAGCCCCCAGGAACACTTTACAGGGTTCCTAAATCCTCTACATGCCCCATTTTTAACAAAAAAAAAAGGGTTGTGCAGAGGGTCTGGGAGGCCTGCAGAGTGCTCCTGGAGGCTAAGCAGGGCAAAACTTTTTTTAAAATTTACTCTTCAAAATCTTGGTGCATCTTATACTCGGGGGCATCTTATAGTCCAAAAAATACCGCAATTCTTTTATCTTTATTCTTTTTTTATTTCCCATATTCTATTCTTTCCCCCCATACATTTGTTTTCTGTGTGCAATTAAATTTCATATGTTCCAGTGGCTTTATAATTCTTGTCCTCATGCAAATTTTATCCTACCCACTTCTCATCTCAAGTAGGGGGAAAGGGAAATGGTTTACAAGAAATACATAAATGTTACAATGCTATTTGTCCTGCACATCTACACAAGTATATATGAAATTATGAAAAACTACATTTATTTTTAAAAATAAACCTCATTTTCACAGCTAACCAAGGGGAAATGCAGTCACCAGACTCCATAGTTACAGTTACTGTCACAAACTGGCTCATATTTCTTTTATCTTTTTGTAAAATCCATCAATTGTCTATGCTTTTAAATGTTAAACAAATAATATTCCTTTACTACCATAAAACATCAGGTCCATTTGTCTGTTTAATTCCAATATTTTCAAAAACATTTTCACCAAAATTTAATCTTTCAAAATTACTGTGCCCTTTCCAAGTAGTCCTTGATCTACAAGAATTACGATGGTAAGTTATGGCATTTTTAAGTGAAGTGCCCATGTGATCGCCTCACTTAACAACCACAATTTCTGCTCCCTTTGTTACGATTGTTAAATTAAGCAAAGGGGAGGGCCCTGGGAGGCCTGCCCAGCACTGGGTCTTTACTGTAGCATCTCTTTAGCTTACACATAACCTGCCCAGGGCCTCCTAGGGCTTTCTCCACCCTGTGCTATGCTTCCTGCCCCCTGGGTCCCTTCAGTCCACTTATGTTTTTCAAGATCGCCTTTGGGAAACAGAAGTGGATGATCTGCCATGCATGCT